GTTTCAGGAAGAAAGATTAAAAGCTCAAAGGCTTAGTGAAAAATGCACATTTTAAAATGGGGCATATTTATTTCTTGGGAAGGACTTCCTGTTCTTTGGAAGTGTTTTCAGATAAGGGGCAGCTCTAGGCAAGGACAGAATGAAAGCTGAATAGCCTTGCTGGAGTGAGGAGTGTCAGTGAAAAACTTATAAAAGTAATGCCTTGGGAAAGGCATTTTTGCACATGTTCCAAGTAAGAGACAGATACAGAGGGGACCGAAGAAGTCCTTTAGGCCTCACTTACTCCTTTGCTATTGCAAAGCAAAGGCTGTGTAAGGGTAACTCAGCACTAGTTAGGGAAGCAGGAAGGAAGATGCCACAGATGAGCAACAGCTACAAGATCTGCAGTGCTGAAGGATGATTTTGGCAGGTCTTAACCCAGCCTGCTGCCTAGGTGCTATACATACACATCAAAATGCAAAACATCAATATGCAAAACATACACATCACATTTCAGGGTTAGGAGCAGGAGTGTGGCTAGCCTAGTCCCTTAAAAATTTAAGGGGTAAAAATTACATTAAGGCCTACTTAAGGAGATCTAATAGAGAAAGAGAATGTTTTCTTTGTGAGCATTTCTCCAGGAGCTCCAGAGCTGACAAGCTCACCCAAAAGAAGCAGAACATGGCTCAGCCCAAGAGCTACAATGAGAAACAGATCTGACATTGGACATAGGAGAGACCAGAGCAGGGACAAAGGGTCCCAATTCTTCCCTCTGCAACACCCATCACTTTCATTAAACAGGCAAAGGGTAAAACCCTCTCTCCTGCCCAAATCCGATGCCACCAGAGGTCACTGTGGTCAGCCAAGCTTCATGACTAGGCACTGCTAGGAGTATCAGTTTTACCACTACAACCTACCTGCTAGCCAAGTTCAGCCCTTAGCCTCTAGTTAAAAGAGCATCCTCCTAAAGAGTTACTGATGTCTGTGTCATATAACAACAGGATCTTGGTCCTCAAGCAGTTTTAAACTAAGCATTGCTTTACCCTCTGTTTTGGTAGCCTGTTACCAGGGAGTTTCACACAGTTTTGGCAATGCCTGAGTGCCTCAGAGACAGGAAAACAAAACAGCTTGAAAGCAAGCCATGAAACATGCCAGGACATGTTAAGGTCTCTCTGACAGCAACACCAGAAAGATGTCAGCCAGTTAATGTATTTCACAGGAGTTTTTTTTTTCAGAATGACACTCCACAGTGTTCACATGCTGCTCAGATTTCTCAAAGCCAGGCTCACAGCCACAAATGGCAAGGTATTAAACAAAGACAAAATTTTCTCAGAAGTCTCTGTCAAGGGTTTTACCCAGCAGCCAAGCCCCCAAAATGGTTCTCAGTGCTTTATAACCTCATATATGCAACATATTTCTACCAACCAGTTCAGAAGATCGAAGAACAATGCCAAATACATTTTCTTCTTGTCAAGCGCTAGCAGCATGGACTATTAAACTTGAAGATCTATACCACACAATTCTTCCCAGTAAGGAAAGCCACTTGTGCAGGCTACATAGCTGCAGATATGACAAAGGAACATTTATTATGTGGGCCCCTTCTGTGATTTCCCATAACATGCTCCCAAATCAAAACGCAAAACTTAGAGGGACTGTTTATTTTCCTCCTCTCTAGAGTACACCTACAGAAAGCATGATTTGTTTCCATTTTCAGTCATGCTTTATGAACATTTGGGGAAGCAAGTAGGCAAGCTGCCTTATACATGTAGTGCTCCATGACACAGTAGAGTCATGCTGGGTTTGTATTTAAAGAGAGGAAGGAGACAAGCACAAAGGAAGGCCTGTTTCTTTGCAAAAGATCAGTGTACTTGAGTCCACTTGTGCCACAGGTTGTTTAACTAGGCAAAGTTAGCATGGGGGTGAGGGTGAGGGGAAGAGGAAGAAAGTTTCTCCTGCAGATTTGAGGCAGGACTGAAACACATGCAGACCTAGGAAAGCTCTACAAGCAGCTTAGACAAATACCACGATGTAATCATTGCAGCATTATTATAGTGCAAAGACTCAGTGAGAGATGTGTACTGGAGCCATTACAGCATGAGAATTCTCTACAACAGCAGAAAGTAGATCATCATTGTCCAGAAAGCTTCAGTTTACATGAGGCTTCAAAACACTTGATTTTACAGAAGAATTGCTACTTAAAAGAACATAGTTTAGATTTAGATTCCCCAGGAGCATTATTTTAAGCTAGTAAAACTGCAAGGTAGTACAGCTAACCCAGCAAAGCAGTAAATGCTTCCAATGAGAGCTTCTGCAGGCAGAACAGAGGCATAGCAGGGTAGGATCCAGTTTTCCTTTTCAACTGCCTCAGGCAGTACACAAAACACCCTTGAAACTACCTCTTCAGCATCCCAGTGGATCAGTTAGTGTATTCTGACTATCATCATTGTTACCAACTTTGCCGTATGGAATAGGGAAGAAATTCTCATACCATCTCTTAGCAGTATTAAAAAAAGATACAGTCTCTAAGTCAGGATCTCACCAAAAAAAAAAAGTTCAAAGCCCAGTTCTGCCATATAGACTTCCTACATGATCTTGCAGATTAGTTTCCACTTAAGAACTGGACAACAGCCATCCATTTGTTCTCTAGTACCTTGTCCAACAAAGCTATAAAAAGCCTCTTTGGACCATGCACTTCCTTGCTAGTTTCGTACAGGACATAACCACACTCACAGCCTTTGGGTGTCACTGCAACTACAGTAAGTCCTTACAACAGGTTAGTTAAGTTCCTCCCCCCCCCACCTCATCCCTTGACAGTCTAAACATTTTTTTAAAACAAATTATTCCTAGAATACCAAGGGCAGAAGCTAAGTTGTAAATCATTACTGAATTCAAAGAGACACCTTTAGTTCAAATATTATTTCAAAAGACAAGGCAGAAGCTAAGTTGTAAAAGCATTACTGAATTCAAAGAGACGCCTTTAGTTCAAATATTATTTCAAAAGACATCTTTATTATAAAAGATATAGAAAATTAGAGTTAAACTCGTTTCTTCCACAATGTTAACCACAGCAGTTATAAAAAACAAGGTAAACATGTTTAAGAGCATTTATATACCAAATAAGTGTTTGCTACTTGCCATTGAATATGGCAAAGACATGCTCAATATCAGTGCAGTAAGGTCAGCAAGCATCAGTCTGCCAAAGGCCAGG